GTTGCCTTCCTCAGCACTTGCCTGTTATAAAAGTCCACAAGCTGGACCTGAGACCTCCCTGAAATCTTGCCAGCCACTTTAACCAGGTTGTTAAGTCTGGTCTTATTATTCAGGGACATATTACCGTACCAAGCAATGATACAGAAGGTTAAAACAGATTCAATAAAACTTTTATAAAAAAGAGTCATCATCTCAGATGAAACATTAAAACCTCTCAACCTCCTTAAAAAGTACAGTCTTTGTTGAGCCTTTTTCACTGTGGCAGCAAGATGTGACTCAAAGGACAGAATCTTATCAAGAACAACCCCCAAATACTTATAACTGTCCACCAGTTCAATGGCTGCACCATTTACCACTGTTAGCGCAGGATGAGGGGATGACTTCCTGAAGTCAATAACCATGTCCTTGGTTTTCAAGGTGTTAATCATTAAGAAGGACTGATCACACCATGAAACAAACTCATCCACAACAGGCCCATGGGAATCCTCTTCACCATGAAGGAGGCTTACAATGACTGTGTCATCTGCGTATTTAATTAAATGCCTGTTGGCCTGTGTACTGCGACAGTCATTAGTGTACAAAATATACAGTAGAGGAGAGAGACAACAACCTTGTGGTGAGCCAGTAGAAGAGTTTAGCTGTTTGGAAAAACAACCGTTTACTCTCACACACTGAGATCTGTCAGTTAAAAAGTCTAAAATCCAGCCATCGAGATTAAAATCAAGTTTAAATTGGTTAAGAAGCTCATCAACTAAAAGATGTGGCTGGATAGTATTAAAAGCTGAAGAAAAATCAATAAATAAGAGCCGAGCATGAGCTTTGGCGCCATCAAGATGGCGATAAAGGAAGTTCAACAGAGTGACCACTGCATCATCCACACCTCTACAAGGCCTGTATGCAAATTGTAGTGGGTCTATAAGCTTCTCTACTTGCTGCAGGATCTCCTTCCTGGCAAGTTTTTCAAAGGACTTCATCACTAAAGATGTTAGAGCGACAGGCCTAAAATCATTTAATGATGTAGGTTTTGTGGTCTTAGCAACCGGAGAAATAATTGATTTTTTCCATACCTCTGGAACCTTCTGTTGCTGAAGAGATAAAAGAAAAATGTAATAAAAAATACTGCATAATTGCTCAGCGCATGTTCTAAGCACCTGGCCACATATATTATCAGGACCTGGACTTTTATTAGTCTTACTCATTTTAAAAAGATTTCCCACCCTTCTTTCATCAAAGAACAAAGCTGGGGGGCCTCTGGTGCTCTCTATTAAGAAATCAAGTGTATTCCTTGAATTATAATTATCATTAAATCTCAAATAAAATCTATTCAGCTAACTGAGAATCTGAACTAAAACCAGGGAGACTTATCTTATTACAGTCACTGTAACAGTGACCAGTCATGTGTTTCATGCCTGCCCAGGCCACCCTTAAGTTATTATTTATTGCAGACAACACTTCTTCATCTGAGGAGTCATTTGCTCTATCCTCATGAAGCTTAACTGTGTGAACATGTCTTTCTTTTTTGAATCTTGCAGTGCCTCTTTTATTTCCAGGCTTTGAGTCCTTATCCTTGCACCTTTTGTTCCTGCATGCCCGTTGCTACATGACCTTTTTTTCCACAGTTGTTGCAATCCATTTCTTTGCACCAGCAATCACTAGCAAGGTGTCCTAACTTGCCACAGCGCAAGCATGGTCCCTGTGCATTTGCTTTACCATTGTCTAGTTTGTGTACTCTGTCTGTAGCATGTAGCGCATGGGCTTCTTTTGATGCCATTTCCATGGTCACACTGATATTAATTGCCTTCTCAAGAGTCAAGTCACTTTCCGTGAGCAATTTCTTCTGTGCAGCTTCATTTCTTAAACCACACACGAATCTGTCTCTTAATGTGTCATTTAAAACATCTTTAAACTCACAGTGTTCAGCTAATTTGCGTAACGATGCAACGAACATTGTGACAGACTCGCCCTCTTCTTGGTTTCGCTTGTGGAACCTGAACCGTTCAGCGATCACGAGGGGCTTGGGCGAGAAGTGTTTGGTCAGTGTGTCCACGATCTCTGTGAAACTTTTATTGCCTGGCTTTGCTGGCTGTAGCAGGCTCCTTAGCAGGGTAAAAGTCTTTGGGCCTATCACACTCAAAGAAATGGGCACCAGTTTAGCATCCTGTATGTCGTTAGCCGCAACGAAATATCCAAGACGCTCCGTATATGAGCTCCATTGCTCCGTGCTTTCGTCAAAGGGACCGATAGGGCCAGTAACTCCAGCCATTACTCGGCTCCTGGTTGAATGGCACTCTTCCCCTCACAACTGTTCCTTTTCGTAACGTCTCTTTTACCCGTTTATGTTTTGGTTAGCGTCACTTACGGAGTCTGCCTTCGTCGTCCTGTCCGCTGTACATTCCTCCCCGTTTCGCTGAGAAAAAAAAAGCAGCATCCACCTTCGCACACCGGGTGTGTCGTCCTCCGTCCGGCGCCGTCTTAACACCAAGTCAGCACGAGGCATCAGCAGGAAAAAAAAGTGTAAAACTCCAAGCGGACTGCAGCGTCGGTCCAGACGTCCTCGTCGCCACTTTTGTTATATCTTCACTCCGGGTTACTAGTATAACAATGATACTTGGACCACGACGTAACTTGAGGTATTTATTATAACGGCATAACTTAACATGGAGCTAGCCCGAGCGACAGCCTAAAGCTTCTCTCCCATAATGCATCTGGGCATGACCGCTACGGGTCCTGTTATAACCCAAAATACACAACATCAAGCATTTCATTTTTTTTTTCTTACAGAATTAACAAATTAGTAATAGGTTAAGAAAATAAATGGATGATGAAAAGCTTTAATAACTGCTGATATTACACACCCTATCCATCTATTCTCTTCCACTTATCCTTGTCACTGGGGGGATCCTATCCCAGCTAGCATAGGGAGAGAGGCAGTGCGCACCCTGGACAGGTCACCAGCCTGACGCAGGACTAACACATAGAGACAGACAACCATTGGCATTCAAATTCACACCTATGGGCAATTTAGAATTAACAACTAACCTAACCCAACTAACTGCATGCCTTTGGACTGTGGGAGGAAGCCAGAGTACCTAGAGAGAGCCCACACAAACATGGAGTTAACATGCAAATTTCACACAGAAAAGAATATTATCCAAAACTTCAGAAATAAAATGTCACAAAATTAATAGCTTGATTTATATTCCATTGAGGGAAACAAGTATCTGATCCCAAATCAAAACAGTTGGACTACCTATACTATCCTAGTAGGGTCCAGGTATCACCTCATGATACCAGAAGTGACCATAGCCAAAATGCAAAACTAGTGAAAAAAGTACTGAAAATCGGAGCTAGTTGAGCAGAAAATGTTCTAAACATTAGCTAATTTGAAATGAAATGACCCAGATGTGTATTATTATTATTATTATTATTATTATTATTATTATTTCTTTTTTCTTTTTTTTTAACTTTCTTTTCATTGTTTTTCTTTAA